GTTAAAGGCAATATTACCATGAACCCTCTCAGCTCCTGATCAGGAACCAGTGACGGCTGTTCAGAAGTACTGTATACTCCAATAAACTAAAATAACGTCCTGGACGATGAACAAAACCCCTGTAGCATCACTCAAATAATCTATCAGGAGGAGTTTTCGGTGCTATGAATATGATTGTGGAGCTGTGTGAATGAAGATTAATAATTAAAACGACTGCAAATCTGCCATTTCTCATCAATACGTGTAAATGATGACGATAACCTCATTGTTAGCCACAGAATTGGCTGGATGCCATGAGTTCTTCATTTATAACCACAGTGAACTGCACATTAGAGGCTTGTTTTATCTTTTAAGCGTTACCGCTGTTATTAAATGCTTCATAGCTGTAAATTGAACACTTGTGAGATCCAGTGCAAGAGTGTTTACGTTCATAAACGCTGTTTTTGTGAGTCATGGTTTTATTTGGAGCTTGTATATTAAGTTATTAGATCACGTGTCTGTCCCGATGTTGTAATGTGCATATTGACGCTTATTTTATTGATAGTATTTTGTTCTCAAAGTGAGACGTTTTGGTTTTGTTATATACTGTAAATGATCTACATGTACAGTAGCTGTAGTTTTGGACTATAGATGAAGAATGTAGTTTTAAAAACTGTGAAGGTTAGAAGTGATTTATTATTATTGACATTCTTATTCTCAATCCTTCTTTCCAATAAATGGAAAATGGATAAACTAGTTTTTTTTTTTTGGCTGTTGGTTCTTTTTGCATCGTTTTTAATAATAATAATTCCTTACATCTACATAGAGCTTTTAAAACCCCTTCACTTTTTGGAAGGACATCCACAGAGTCAGGATCTCAGTTTAACATCTCACTGTGCAGTGTAGAGTCCTCATCAATGTACTGGGGCACAGGCTGAGCGCCCTCTGCTGGTCTCACTAACACCACTTCCAGAAGCAACCCAGCTTTCCGATGTGGTCCCCCATCCAGGTACTGACCAGGCGCAGCTTCACTGGGCGACCATGTAAGAGTTGCAAAGAGCTGGCTTCTGTATTTGTGAATATTGTAATAATTATGACTAGGGCCAGACAGAATCGTCAGACATGTTTTGATATTTCTGCTGAGAATTTGGTAATAAATATGTGGATTTATGCAGAATGATTTTAGGAGTATCATAACTAAAAACTTAACCTGATATTTAAAAAAAAATAATGAATTTTTAATGTTTACAATGCAAATCCTATCAGATTCACTTATTTGGTAAACAAAGCAAGTCTCTCATATAAAATATCTAAAAGACAGAAAATATTACTTCACAATCTGTATTGTAAATAAATCATGAACATTTTAATATTAATATTATTGCATCACAATATTGGTGAAATTAATTAAAAAACTGAATAAAAAAATTTAGGCAAGGCAAGTTTATTTATATAGCACATTTCATACACAGTGGCAATTCAAAGTGCTTTACATAAACAAGAATAAAAGAAACAAGTAAAAAAATTAAATAAAAACAAATAATAAAACTGATTAAAAAACATAAAAACAGGTAAAATGTGATATATAGGAATGAAGAAGAAGAGAAAAACATGATAGTGCAATCTGTCGGACGCAGCACAGTGCTCATTCAGTAAAGGCACAGCTAAACAGATGTGTTTTCAGTCTTGATTTGAATGTGCCTAATGTTGGAGCACATCTGATCATTTCTGGAAGCTGATTCCAGCAGCGAGGGGCGTAGTGGCTGAAAGCTGATTCACCCTGCTTTGACTGAACTCTTGGAACTTCTAGTTTATATGATCCTAATGATCTGAGTGATCTGTTAGGTTTGTATTCAGTGAGCATATCTGTGATGTATTTAGGTCCTAGGCCATTTAGTGATTTATAGACCAGTAATAATACTTTAAAGTCTATTCTGAATGTAACTAGGAGCCAGTGTAGAGACCTGAGGACAGGTGTGATGTGCTCTAATTTTCTGGTTCTGGTTAGAATTCTGGCTGCAGCGTTCTGGATGAGCTGTAACTGTCTGACTGTCTTTTTAGGAAGACCAGTGAGGAGTCCATTACAGTAATCCACCCTGCTGCTGATAAAAGCATGAACAAGTTTCTCTAAATCTTCACTGGAAACAAAGCAGCTGATTCTTGCAATGTTTTTGATTTACCCAAATAAATTTACTGACTTGATGATGGGGTAACATCTGAGTATTTTTGCGTGTGCAGATTCCGTGTGGGCCTAATTATGACTTTATATAATAGGTTTCTAACCATTGTAGCCATTTTTAAATTAATTTCTAATCA